TGACGTTAAATAAAAGTTCACTATTAAATCTGGAAAGAATTAATCTAATGCCTTTAATAAGGCATTATTACAATTATAAATATTTATTAGTATAATTATATTTGGTAAAATTATATTCTTTCTTAAACTCAAAAAATTATGAACAGAATGATTTTTCCCACTATAAAATATTTTAAATAGATAAAATTTTAATGTACAGAAGTAACTGACAATTCTGAGGAAGATAGGGGAAGGTTTGTAAAAAGTTACAGTATAAACAATTTTATTATTTCATGGTCTCAATTTCTATAGAAGGTAGAAGTTGATAAGCATAGAAAAACAAACAGCTCATTAAACATCTATAGATTTATCCTTTTATCCACATTTGTTTTTTTTTTATTATATTACGAAGAAGTGTCATAAGTTCTAGTATGGTTGTGTTTCCATGCATATCATTTTTCAGAAAAATGTTATAACTTGAGTTGTTAAGTAGTGTACTTGCTTTTCTTGGGATTCTCCTCCCCCTCCCCCCCTCAACACACACACACATTATGTCACATAATACGTTCAATCAAAGTAACTTAAATATTTCTTTAACTTTTCAGTATTAACTTAATAGTTCTTTTGCACTGTTGTAATCCCAAATCTGATGTGTGTGCCATACTCAAATGGGGGCTCTACCCTCTATATTGTCTTTTTGCTGTCTCTCTTATTTGAGTAGCTCAAGAACTTATTCTTCTTATTTGAGGCATTGCATAAATGCTTTATGTCAACTGATTTATTCTTTTCAAGCTTCTTAATAATTAATTGATTGCTCAATTACATTTTAATTCTCTTGTTAAAAATCTTTCCTGGGAGTATATTTTGTGTTAGTACAAACTGTATCTTTTACATTGTTGAGATAATTAGGTCAAAGAAAGTAGGAAAACATTCAGGGTTTGAGGTATTCTGATTGTTACTTGGTTACTCTAACTAGGTATCTCAACTATTTTTATTAGAAAATGGAAGGAGCTTTATATGGCAGTAGTTGAATTTTTATCTCTTAAAGTTCATAGTTTTCACTTAATGAGCTTTGAATTGGAAGGGAGCATCAAATTAATCTTCCTTTATTTAAAATCCATTTAATGGATTTGGCATATCCTAATAAAGAGGTTACCATTCTATAAAAGAAAACAGGAAACATCCTATGAAACCAAGCAAGAAACAATCAAAGGAAAAACTGAAATTTTCTGTGAAATTAAAATTGGAGTAAAAAGGTAGTCAGCTGGACAATCTGATTTGCCTTTTTTTATTTGCAACACCATCTGACATGATTTAAATTTAAATAATTAATTAAAAAATTCCACTGCAACAGAAAGTTTTAAGAACCTTTTATGTAACTTAATACAATGCTATTTGAGACTGCCAGCAAACTTAAAACTCCTGGACACTGGCTCTCTTCTCTTCTGGCTTCCCTCCTAGTCATGTCTTGGCTACTGTCCAGAGCTGACAACTTTCACCCAAGAGTGAAGGGAGATTTGTCTAGTATAAGGAGGATTTTTGAGCCATCCTAGATTTTCACATTCAGATGGGCAAGGAGGAAGGGTGACAGTATCATTGTACATGCTTGGGTGATGTCATTGTGCCGTGCATGAATATAACTGTTAATTTACTCCTACTGGTAAGTCCTGAATGTCCTTTAGTCAAATGTTCCTTATTAGAAACTGTAATGTAACAACTTCAAGGTTAACACAAAAATTACTCAAATTTATGTCTAAGTAATTGACGCACAAATACCTTCACTTCTCCATTTCCAACTACATATACTGCAGACCAAAGAGGTTTCACATGTTGGCTAATAACATAAAAACACTTAGAATCTCTTCAAATGAGATTGTGGAAGTTCCAGTTTCAAGGCCTCTGCTCAGATCATTATGCTAAAGTTTTCTGAACACCATGAGTTATATTATAACAATTTACTGTCCATAGTATATTCTTCCTAAAGTGAGTTGTGATTATTATGTTTTTGAGGTTTTCTAAAGCTGTTAATTTCAGATTCTTTTTAAGTAAAGTTACCTACCTTTATCTAAAAGACCACTTAGTATTAACATTATGATTTGAAAGACAAGAGTGGTTTTAAGATATGATCATATCTCACATATTGATACCATACTCCTTATGAATATACCATACTCCCTATGAATCTCAGAGCTACAAAAGTAACCTGTAATAGTATTTTAACTTTTTAAAAATTATGTACATTTGCATGCCCAAATATCTTTTATGCTTTGTTCATAACTGGAAGACTGAATGAGTTTATAATTAAGATAGAGATTATCTCAGTGAGAAATTTAGATGTTATTCTTATAATTTCCAGTGCTACTTATTCTATGTTTTTTTTCATTATCTGTACAACTTTCTCCCTCCAGTTTGCCACATTACATAAACTATTTTCCAAAACTGCTGTGCAGAAAGCAATAGGGTCACTGTTAAATATAACTTATATTGTGGTAATGATTAAAACTTTCTTCTTGCTGTAATACTTCATGAAAGCTTTTATAATAGGATTTAGTTTGTAGTTAATAGCTGTAGTATAAATGTACAGAACTTAGAAACCTAAGAAATGAAGTGTATAAGTGAGTTTCTGAGATTTCTAAATCCAGGATGTATACATCTTTTATTCTGGAATTCATTAGTTTTCCTCTGCAAAGTGGACAGCTGATTTTTTTTTATCTCCCATAAATTACCTTAAAAAGACCTATAATGTTGAAAAATACTACAGGATGTTAAGTGACTTATTAGTAAATTTTAGGGTTAAATTGAAGAAAGAAACCCTCTTTAAAATAAATCTCTTGTTGTCCATTTAAATATACAGGACCTTGCTTATAGAAAGCCAGAAGAGTAATTCCATCCTTAAACCTTACGATTTCTATAATTAAAGTAATTGAGAAAGCTCTAGTTTATATCACTAAAATTCCAAATAGTTGAGTTCTAACAAAAACTGATTCTTATCATTTTAGATGCAGATATTTAGATACAAAGGCTTAGTCTTGTATTTATAGATAAAAGGAAATCTGACCTTTTGATTAAGAAATATTGTCAGTAGCCTTTATAAGTGCTTGTTCATCTGAGGGTCCATGACAGGAGTACTCTTCCCAGTTGAGTTTATCCTAAAAATGAAATGATAAGAGCCTGCTGGTTGTTATCTAAGATTCTTCTTAATGGGAGAACCACATGGTTATTCTTCATCTCCCACTTGTTCTCACCCTCTACAACCAACCCAGCCACACCCCACCCCCACCCCAACATTGTTCAGTACTCAGCACAATGAATCATTTTCAAGTTGACTCATTGTGAACTGTCTCCCAGCTGTTGGAATGTCTGGCAGACATTTTTGTTTGGGTGAAGAATAACTGGCTGAAACCCAACCTGGATGAGTTTGATATAATAGTCTTTGGCTAAAGAAATATTGAGAGGAACTTGTTTATGGCCTCTGAAGCCCCTGTTATTCCTGGAGTAGGACCATCCCCTGTGGCATAGAACAGAAAGTGAGGAATCAATCTGGATTATTTTCTCACCATTGAATGAAAAATTGCCTTGGAAAAAAATGGGCATTTTCAAATTATGTTTGTTTTTCTGTACTTGGTACCCACGTGATTGAGAGTATTAAAGCCAATTAAGGATAATTATTTTTACTGGTTCTTTTTAAGAACACTGATTCAAAGACTAAAACATTCTTTATACAACACACATCTCTACTTACAGAGGAGTTTCAAATGCTCTGCTAGGTGTGAGTTAACCAGTCATTTCAGCACAAGGTTTAGTGACAGAAGCTACTATGTATTTCTGATAGAGTCAAGTAACATTGACCAGCTTTCTTTTATTTTTCATTCTTCTGCAGTCATTACAAGGGAACCGAAGAAACAGAGGAATACCAGGAAACTCAGTAGTCAATCATGTTTTCAGAAAGTGAACATATTTCATTGTGTTTGGACTTTCCTTTAACAGGGGACATAGCATCAGACTGAAATTTTCTTGACTGTTTTATATTTCCCATCCTTTTCTAAAGATTATTTTTAAACAAGTAGACATTACCATGTGTAAAATGGGAGTTCAAAATTATAAAATTTTACAAACAGCAAATTTTTCAAATCATCTAGAGCTTCAGTACAAATTTTTTTTCTAAGATGTTATAGGCTTATGAAATGTGTATTAACCTACCACCATGATAGAGGCTAAAAGGAATCCCAAATTTAACAATTCAAGAGAATCTATAGGGTATTTAATGATTATATTTTTGATGATTTTTTTATAGCCATGAAATTCTGGGTATTTTAGAATGTTTACTACTTAAAATGTGACTTTTTTTTTACAGTATATTATTTAGCAATATTTTTGGTTCATGTCCAGTTGTATTAGAAAGGAAAAGGTAGGCAACTAGTCTAGTGCTAGTCATCAACCATCTTTTCTTTGCCTTTATTATTATCCCAGAGCCAAATAGCAGCATCTGGAAGGAGAGAACAGAAGACTCCAGAGGTAGCCATGCTATAACCTCTTAGCTAGACCCTTCCATGTTTCTAAAATGCTACAGAGGACCTCAGCTGTTACAGGGCTGGGACGTGGTCAGAGATGATAGTAGGACCTTACCTTACACATTATACTGTAATATCTACTGCCTCTGAATCCTGATGTCTATGAGATTTTCCAATGGGCAATGGGCAAAGTAATTTTAAATAGTGTATGAGGATAAAGGTAGGCTTGCCCCTTAAGACAGAAGAAAAATAATTTATGTTCTCTATCAAAACTAAGATATGTCTCCTGTACTCTTCCAAATAGAAAAGCATACCTACATAGGCTGGAATTTTCTATTAAGTGCATATTTTCATACAGTTTTCAGCATGTGGCAGTTTTAACTTTTAACATATTTCTCTACACTGATAGTTTATCTCCTCTGCAATTTTGTCATTGAGATGGCATAATGGCACTGAATAGATATTATATTTTTAAGCATAACATGAGTGTTTTGTTTTCTTGTTTTACAGAATAAAGCAATTATTGCTCGTGTTACAAACTTGTCAGATACCGTAGTTGGTCTGGAATCATTTATTGGTTCTGAGAGAGAAACCAACCCTTTATATAAGGATTATCATGGTAAGCATGATCTTTATAATGAGAAGAGAATATCCTGGTTGCCTCTAGGGTACCTGAAAGCATTGTATCCAGTCATAATGTCTACTGTCAAGTAGCATGAATTTTGTTTTATAATACATCTATTAAATGTTTTCCATTCCTGACCATTCTTTCATGGCAGCTGGTCACCAAACTACGTTAAGACTACAGACTATGAGGGTGCTTGTGTGACTCAGTCAGTTAAGCTGACTTTGTCTCAGGTCATGATCTCACAATTCATGAGTTCAAGCCCTACATCGGGCTCTCTGCTGTCACCATGGAGCCTGCTTCAGATCCTCTGTCCCCCTCTCTCTTTGTGTCTCTCCCCCACTTGCATTTTCCTTCTGTCTCTCTCAAAATAAATAAATGAACAACATCAAAAAAAAAGACTGTAGACTATGATAACTGTTTGAAAGGAATTAAACCCAAGTACTAAGGCATGGCTCAGTCAGATATAAATTCTGTTGTCCTAATGGCTTATGCTTGTCATAAAATCAGTTGTACTTAATCAGCCATGTTTGAAATAAATATATTAATTCTAATAATAACAGCCTATATAGTGGCTTGTGCTTTATAAAGCCTAGCTATATGATAAATAAAATTCATACTGTATTATATTTCACTGTTTTTTTTTCTTGTTTTTATGTTTGTTTATTTTTAAGAACGAGAGAGAGTGCTTGAGCAGAGAGGTGCAGGGAGAGAATCCCAAGCAGCCTCTGCACTGTTAGTCATCCAGGCACCCCATACTTTATATTTTTAAAGCCCTAATCACATTTTCAGAAAGTGAACACCTTTGATTATATTTGCACTTTGCTCATTTTGTTGGGTTATGAGCAAAGTTTATAATATTGCCATACCCTAGTATAAGCACAAGTCAATTAATGAGACTTTTACTTATTTCTTTGAAGTTTCTTTTTTTTTTTTTTTAAGAGAGAGAGAGTATGTATATGTGCACATGAACTAGGAAAGAGCAGAAGAAATGGAGAGAAAATCCCAAGCAGGCTCCAAGCCCAGCACAGATCCCAACACAGGGCTCAGTCTTACAACCATAAGATCATGACCTGAACCTAAATCAAGAGTCAGATGCTCAGTGGACAGAGCCACCTAGGCACCCCTTATTTGAAGTTTTTAGTAGTATTTTGGTAATTTGATTAATTTGGATATTTTTAAAATAAAGGTTCTTCAACAGAGTCATTGACATAGGAAAAGTTTAATAGTTTTGCATATCTTAGCTTTAAATTAAATATAGAGTATGGTGAATGATATATTTTTACCTATTTACTTATGCTGAATAAATAGTAATTATTGCTGTTACTATTGTGGATCTACTGTACCTACATGGAAACCTTTAAAGACTGAATAGCTTACTTGAAGCCACTAGAAGATTATATAAGATTGTGATTGCGGACTATGGTGATTCCTAGAGTTGACAATAAAAGGTACTTTTATATGGTATATGACAATATAAGGTACTTTATATGATAACTGCCAGTGCTTTGTAGAATCAGCATACAATCTTTTAAAATATAATAAAATACCTAAATCTAACAATCAAGTATTATTTAAAGACTAGAAAGTATAAACTATGAACAAAAATCTACACTAAATGATTTGCCTCATGATTAACTTACATCAAGTATGCTATATGCTCAGATGAACCCTATATATAATTATTTAATATACTGTTGTCACTATTATAGGAAGAGGACTATTAAGATTAAACTATTTTTTTTTATTGAGCTGTTGACATACAACATTGTACTAGTTGATAGATGTAGGTATTGTGAAATGATTACCACAGTTAAATTTAATTAACATACATCACCTCCCATAGTTTACAATATTTTTTTTTCCTAGTAATGAGGAGAACTTTTAAGATCTATTCTCTTGGGGCACCTGGGTGGCTCAATCGGTTAAGCATCCGACTTCGGCTCAGGTCATGATCTCATGGTTCGTGGGTTTGAGCCCTGCGTCGGACTCTGTGCTGACAGCTAGCTCAGAGCCTGGAGCCTGCTTCAGATTCTGTATCTCCCTCTCTGACCCTCCCCTGCTCACGCTCTCTCTTTCTCTCTCAGAAATAAATAAAACATTAAAAAAAAAAAGATCTACTCTCTTAGTTACTTTCAAATATACAATATAGTGCTGTTAAGCATAGCCACCATGCTGTACATTACATCCCTAGGACTTATTTGTCTTATAACTGGATAAACTATTTTTCATTTTTTATTATTATCCCTTCTCCTTTAAGACAACCTAAGTTAATTATTACCTTAATAAATTATATCTGAGTATCATTTGTAAGTATTATGACCCAATAAATTTAGTAAAATTGTATTTTATATTCGAGGACAGTCATTTGATTAAAACATTTTGAGTGTGAAAGCCTATGATTTTTTTGTGTGTGTTAAAATCTCTGGATTAATAAATGATTACCAGCAGATTCACGAGTGGTTTTGAGAAGTAGCATTTCTGTTAATATGAAGAGTCTGATAAACCATAGTTATTCATTGTGGGAGGCCTTCTAATTTAATAACTAAACAAGTACATAGCAAATTAAAATGCGGAATGTACTAGTGAAAGTCTGGTGTGCTTATTTCTAACATATTTTATGAAGTAGCTCTGTCTGAGATCTTTTTAATTTGTATCTAATAGCTGTCTTCATAACACTTGTAGCATTTTTTTAAGTTTAATGAATTAAATCAGATAGTTCAGTGAATTGTTTTTGACCATTAGAAAAGTTAAGCATTTAGAAAGTTAAGCACCTGGGGGTTTAACCCTTTTAAGCTAAAACAAATACATACATCACTAAGCATTCAGACACATACAAAACTGTCTACTAGAGAACAGTTCTTTAAATAAGATGTGTCTAATTTGCTCAGATTTGGATTTGCCTTCTTCCCCCATAGATCTTTAAGGATCTATGTCTTTAGGATGATGATTTTTAAATATGGGCTGAATCAGGCAGAGAGATGGACTGAAGAATCTTCCATGTCTTCATCTGTGGCAAATGACCCCGAGTTTAGTCAGAAACTGCATTAAGCTGCACAAAAGCCATCCAGTGCCCTTGTCAGAAAAAATTAGCAAGTGTTTCTACTGACAAGAGGCCAGAGCTCACGGTTTACCTAGCACTGTTACAAAGCTTCTAACAGCTACATAAAGGGCTAACATGCCACAGAAATGAGTATCTTGGGATGGCATAGGGGTTAATGTTTGATCCTAGAGAGTGTGCTCTGAAATGTAGTTTTCTTCCATGGTTTGCTCAAGTCATTAATAAGGTACAAAATGAAATACTTTTCACTAGTGCTTCACTGGTTATCAGTAACCCATGAGCCTTGTTTTGCTGGCTGCTTACTGGTGCATTTAATAAAATAAAGATCACTCGGTGGTGCCGTGGGCAGCATGCAAGGTGATAGCCATATTTGCTTACTGTAAATACAAGAGAAAATCACACACAAACCGGCAGTAGTTTTGACAAGTATTAAGATCCCTCTTTACATCTGTACTTCTCTACCAAAGTGCAATTAGTTTTCCTCGCACAAGGATTTCTGTTTATCTTATTCTGCTTGATTACTTGAGTATAATCACACCATTTGCTTCATTGCTCCTGGTAGTAAGCTCCAGTTTTAAAAGGGGAGGATGCTTGTGTGTAAATTTACAGGATTCTGCTGTAAGACTCTTTAATTTATGCATCTAAGACAGTGTTTTTAAATTTTTGTTCTTTTAATTTTCTTTTCACAAGGTCTGATTCATATTCGGCAAATTCCTCGGCTTAATAACTTGATTTATGATGTATCTGATGTCAAAGACTTAGCTTTTAAATTAAAAAGGAAGCTATTCACCATTGAGGTAAGAGAGAATTTTTATATTTGTTCATGGTCTTGATGTTAAATAGTGTGTGTGTGTGTGTGTGTGTGTGTGTGTGTGTGTAATTTTTTTTTACTTTAATGAAATTCTTAGAAGGTGTTTCCTGCTAATATTTTTATGTTTCCTTGGTGTAACAGAAAGTGTTTTTAGACTATCTTATTTTTTCTCTTTTAGTGGCATATCATTAGAGTATAGCAAAAATGATTTTGTTTTAAATGTGTGTTCAAAGTAAACTCCAAACTTATAAGTATGACATGCATATTTCCAAGTCTTTCAAAGCATATTTAATTAAATGTTAATGAGCTGTGCTTATTTGTGTATGGAATGTGAATGCTCCCCACAACTGTGTATGGCTAATACAAGAGGATCCTTATCTATATTCTAAAAGCATGTTTCTTTACTATTAGTGAAATCACCTTTCTGTTTCCATGCAGAACAAAACAAAGTATAATTTAATTTACACCGGCATCTTTCTGTAAGTTTTCTACAAAACTTAAAGTTTTTTTGTGACCTTTATGCAAGCAACACTGACAGAAAGTAGCAGTACAAAAGATTTATTTCACCTTAATCTTGCTAAAGAGCAAATGAACATAGCACTATTAAGCAATTAGAGTTGATATATTTATTAACGAAATAAATGCTTGGAGAGAGATGGCTTTTGGGTGATGTGATAGTTATCAGTATAGTCAGTGCAATTTTTTTTAACAAAGACATAAAACAGCCGAGCAGCCTTGACAAACCATTTTGTTTAATCTCTTTTCAAATGAAAAGCTCTTAAGCAGGCCACTTGTCTTAACTGCTTGAAACCATAAAAAGAGAGAATTGCCACCAATAAATTAGCATATTTTTAACTTCATCACCAAATGATGGTCAATGTGGCTTGGCACTGCTTTGGTGTTTGGGACTTCACCCTTAAGTGACCACTTTGGCCCTTTTTTGACCCTCTGCCCTCTTTAGCTGGCCACTTGATAAGGTAACTTAATGGTTCTCTCTCTTTTTCTCTTTCCCTTCACATTTGCAAGTAGCACTAACCTATAAATCATTGTAAGGGCCCTATCCAGTGACAAATTAATGTGCCCTCCTCCTAATTAATGGTCATCAATGTCCTTAATTATCTAATCCTATTGAGAGCAGTTAATAGTTAATCAGGCAGCCAGTTCTTCAAGCAGGTCATCTCTGCAGGAGTGTTAGAAGTTTCTCATCTGGGGATACTCCCTTCAAAAGCCACTTAAAGCCAAGAGAACGAGAGTGTAGAAATACTGATTCTTGAGCTAATTTGCTTTAGTTCTCAAAAGAAACCATTGAAATGGAACCCAACACTGTAATTGTTCAAACTTCGTTTTAGTTGTTCTGATAGAATACTGAGAAATTTGCCTTTACTTTTAAACCAACATTAAGCAACATTTTGCTTAAAAATTTTAGAGGGATAAAGTTATAGTTAGTGTCACAAGGAAAGCTTGCTTCATCATTTTCTTTTAAGTTGAATTATATTTTTAATGAAATATTTAAGTTGTTGGTTTGTTTTTTTTCCTCCATGTGACACCTTTCTCCCGAGATGAGTGTTCTGACAACCAGGTCTAAGGTATCATGTCTATCATTATACAAACTAAGCCAGCAGATTCCCTAGTGAAAAAAATACTGTACCCAGGGAAAATTTAGCACTCTAGTGTGACTCATGCTCTCTCTCCCTCTCTCTCTCTTTCTCAAACACACACACATACATATACAACACATACATGCACACACACTGTTTCTTACTTTGGGGATGAAGGATAGAAATAAAAGACTTTAATAATGTCAAGTGGGACCTGCCCTTTGATAAATTTAGGTTCTAATAGTCACTCTACACTTTACCATTGGAGCTGATGTAAGATCTTTTATAAACCACATACGTTTCTGTTCCATTTCCTCTCTTCTATTCCCAACATTCTAAACCAAGAGAACAATTAGAATTGATCACCCTATGGTTTGGAAGCAATATTTGAAACAAAACACAAGTATATGGTTGGTTTTTAAAATGTTAATATTTAATACAGCTGATCAAATCCTTTACCTTTTTGACTTATAGCCTAATCAATAAGGTATTTTTATACATAGAAATGTAGGTGAAATACATTCCAAATAATTTATTTAGTTATGCCATAAAATTCAACTTTGTGAATAGAAAAATTATGAATTAAAGAATGAAACAAACCCAATAGATGCCTATATATATGGAGGTATAATTATAACAGGATAAAATCATGTAGTTCATATGAGATTAAATGATTCAAATATAGCATTTTACCTTATAAAATGCATGCTCAAACAGGTAGATAGCAAGTTTTGGTGATATATTATAGAAATTGGAAACAAGAGGATTCCTTTATTAAGGGAAAAATTATCTATTAAGTGATATGGTTTTAATATGCATCACAAATACTCAACTAGTCTATAAAATGTAAGACTATAATATAGCAGGCATTGAATCTGTGTTTTACTTTCAGAAGGGAATCTGTGTTTTACTTTCAGAAGGTAAAGCAGAAACAAGTTGTCTGCTTCTACACAGGTAGCTTACTTACATGTTGGAATTTACCATCAGTCACATGGTCTCAAAAGTTGGCATCGTTGGAAACAAGGGCCAAAAGAAACAGGAAAATGCCCTCATCCCTATTGTAGAGTGCCCTTTGTTTGATTTATTGAATGCACATTATAAAAACTGATTTTTTTTATTTTTAATAATGGCCACCAAGGGTCTCTAACAAGTAGAGCAATTTTAGCCAGCAGTCTTAAATTTCTTTAACTAATTTGGAGAAAGTAAAAGAATATTTCTTTCTTCTTAGAATGTGTATTGGTATTATTCAGACTCAAGTAGAAGCATTTATCTAATCATAGTAAATTTTTACTAATACTTAGTATTCATCAGCAATGAAACTCTATAAATTAGCCCCTCTACAAAAACCATAGCAGAATCATATCTATAGTAATGACACTAAAATCCTGGCATGCATTCTGGATAAACAGAAGAGAAAATTTAAGGTTGGTTCGGTATGGCTTTAGGTTTAAAAAAAATAGCTTTCTAATTCTTTGAAAATTTATAATCCTCGTAAACTGTACATGATAACTCTCTAGCATATTTGATTAACCATGACCTACTACTTATTTATTGCCCTTACCACGTAACCTTTATTCAATCATAGCAAGACTTATTAAGGCTTTGTTGTATACCAGGCCTTCTACTGGCTTATTTATACTTTCTATACAGTAATTAAATATCTTATAATGAAGGGTTTTACTATGAAACTGTGTCTTTTTCGTCTTCATATCTATCCCAGAACTAAGCACAGAGTCATACACTTAGCAGGTATAAAATCTTTGCTGAAATATATGTATAGAGAATGAGTTATGGGTTTGAAAAATTGTCCAAGTCATACAGCTATAAATACTATATAAGCTCCATTGGTCAAGTGACCTATAAATACTACCTTCTCCATAAGTTCTGTAAGAAACAACTCAGTACACAGCTTCACTTCCAAGCTGAAATAACTACTTGGACTTGGTTTTGGTTTTTTTTTCAGCTTCTGTAATTTTTGCCTCTCTAATGTTGGAATTATCGTTAACCAGTTTTTCCTTTATATTAGTAATTATAATGTAATTATAATTCCTAAACTAGTAAGATTTGGTAGGATTTGAAATGTGACTTCATCTAATTTGATGACCTCATAACGGCAGCATTTTTGCTTTCATTTAATAATATTTTCTATTGTGATTTTCTATGGTTCAGCTTGATCCTATTTTAACAATCTAATTTTCTAGCATAAATAGTAATAGCATATTATTACATTAGTTATAGTCTCTATTATGGTTATTAAAATAGGGTTTATGCTTTGGTAATGGGACAGTTTTCCATCTCTGAGATTCAATGTTTGTTAATTTCAGGTCAGAAAGTATGATTACTGGGTAACACTAAAGAATACATAAGACATACACCATTCACTGCAAATTTTCAAATTAAGGATAAACAATATTTACATAGGCTTTAATTGGTCCAAATGTAGTAATTTTCATAAATAGTATATTTATGTGGGTCTTGCACACTGAATGAATATTGACAGTCCAGAAAATTGAAGTAAATTAAGACAATCTCAAGACTGTCTTTAATTTTTCCCTAATTCCAAATACAGGACTCCAGTACCTCCTCAGTCATCAAGAACTTTTTCTCACCAAAGAATTTATTAACCAGCATTTATTAGTAACAACTATTTTTGATTCACTTACTTAGAAAATTTATTCTTAAGTATTAAGACCAAAATATTATATGCCATAAGTATAAATTAACTTTATATAGTACTACAGTATACTTGATAATGATTCAGTAGAATTATTTGAAATTTTTACATATTGGAGAAACATAAACTCTTGCAAGCTACAAGAGTGTCAGTCACTTTGACAGTGCTGGACAATGTAGAGTTGCATGGTATCTTTCGTTCTGGGTTTCCTTACTTGCCAAATTTTATATCAATAGGCTTTCCAATTTTCAATGGGAAATAGAAAGGTGACTGTTTAGTATACATAGAAGTTGAGGAGGGATGGTTGACTTATTTGTCAATTAACAATTATGTCACTAAAATAAAAAATGGAAACATATATGTCTGGCTCAAGAGCATTGAGTTGTAGCATGATGAGCCATATAGTCCAATACACCTTTTCTGATAATGATGCCCTCCACAAATATTGAAATATTCAATTCCCAGATAGATTACAATTAGCAAAAGAAAATCAAAGTGTAACATAGGCATCTGTTCATATAGATCAAATCATTTGTCAAAAGCAAATTCAAATGAGCATTTTTTTAATATTTTTAACAATGGAAATGTCATTTTCTCCATGTTCACATCTCAGTATATTCATTATATTACCATCTCTGTATTTACACTTTAATTCCCAAGTAATGTAAACATACAGTAGGGTCATATAGATTTCACAGACTCTCAAGAAGTTGG